TCTGAACGTGGTACTATTTAGACCAGGTCTGCACACATATAAGATGGTGGATACCTGTCTTCCTAGTAGTACATGTGAAAAGGATCTAGGGGTCTTAGTGGACCACAAGCTCAGCATGATTCAGCAGCAGCAGCAGCAGCAGCAGCAGCAAAAAAGCTAATGATATTCTAGATCCATCAATAGAAGTATAGTGTCCAGATCAAGGGAAGTCATAGTACCACTCTATTCTTTGGTCAGACTTCATCTGGAATACTGTGTCCAGTTCTGGGTGCCACAATTTAAGAAGGATGTTGACAAGCTGGGATGTGTGCAGAGGAGGGCAACCAAGATAATCAAAGATCTTGAAACCAAGCCTTATGAGGAATGGTTGAAGGGGCTGGGTATGGTTAGCCTGGAAAAAGGTGAGTGAGAGGAGATATGATAGCCATCATAAGGGCTGTCACATGGAAGATGGAGCAAGCTTGTTTTCTTCTGCTCTGGAGGGTAGAACTCGAACCAGTGGCTTCAAGTTAAAGGAGATAGGAGATGCCAACTCAACATCAGGAGGAGCTTTCTGACAGTAAGAGCTGTTCAACAGTGGAACAGTCTTCCTTGGGAGGTTTTGGAGTCTCCTTCATTGGAGGTTTTTAAGCAGAGGTTGGGTGGTCATCTGTCATGGATGCTTTAGCTGAGATTCCTGCAATGCAGGGGTTGGACTAGAGGCCCTTGGGTCTTCTCCCCAGCTCTACAATTCTTTGTTTCTATGAATTTTTCTTTTAACCAACCAGTATTTGTTGATATTTTATTGCTGTTTTTATATTATGTTTTATATATATTTATAGACTGGTTGTATTGTATTTTCATGCCATGAGCTGCCTTGATATATTTTAGTAGTAGTAGTAGTAATAATAATAATAATAATAGCAATAAAATATAGCTGATACAGGACAGGCATCTGTCAGCGAAAGGGATTTGCTCATACTGTCTTTTTCTTCTCTACCTGCACCCTGATCCAGTTCTGACTTCTGTCACTTTTGAGCTATCTGCAAAGAAGACTTGCAAGCCCAGAAGTGGAAAATTACTAAGAGCTGTTGTAGCTATGGTTCATCATATTGATCCAAAGGAATGTCTGGAGCTCGAGACAGAAGACATCATGTTATCATAGCTAGGACTACTTACTTTTTGTTTTGTTTTTGCCTACTCTTTTGTTCTACCGTCTTAATGACAGCTCGACCTGCAGACCTTAGCAGGTGATGATGTTCTTTCCATGCCATGAAGTTTCATCTGCCGATTCCTGTTGATTGGTCTTCTGTAAAACGCCTAAGAGCAAAGAAGTAAAGCTTGAGTCTTCCCTTGAGTCCTCCCAGCCCTAAGAAGGCACTGTGAATCACAGTCCTGTTGTGAAAGAAAGTTGCTACTGTAAGAGATTTCCTAGAGGTGGCTCCCAACAAAAAATTAAAAAACACAATAACACCTCAAATATTAAAAACTTCCCTGTACAGGGCTGCCTTCAGATGTCATCTAAAAGTCATATAATTGTTTATCTGTTTGACATCTGGTGGGAGGGTGTTCCGCAGTGAAGATCCTCTGCCTGGTTCTATGTAAGTTCTCTTCTGCAATAAGAAATGGCCGAGGCTGTTGAAGGCTTTAAAAGTCAGCACCGACACTTTGAATTGTGTTCGGAAATGTACTGGGAGTCAATGCTGATCCTTTAGGACCAGTGTTATATATGGTCCCAGTGGACTACATATATATACTTGCCCAGGGGTGGCCTGCCCCATATTGTTCCCTGGGGCAAAATAGGAGGGTGCAGAAGCCTCACTTACTGGGGTTATGTGGTGGTTTCCTCAGTCTGCCTAATGGGCGGGCTGGCCCTGTGCTTGCCTCATCATTCTGTGACAGGTCATGATTTTTCTCCTTTTAAGAGATAGGGGGAAGAGATTGATCAATTAAAACTTGCCAAAGGCCATCCAAACTGTATTGTTGACTTAGGAATTGAGTTCTTCTAGGGCAGCCTTCAGTAGCCTGGTGCTCTTCAGATGTTTAAAGCTACAACTTCAAGCCCCAGCCAGCATCTGGGGGGCACCTGGGTGCTGAAGGCTGTTGCAGGCCCAAATGTAATCCTGTATACCATGGGTGCATTCTGCTTGCTGCCATTCCCCCTTCTATGCAGCATTTCTAACCCTTGCATGACAAGATATGCCTGCTGAAATTCTATTTTTCATTTTTCTTAAAGCTATAGGATACCTTCCCTTTGTCCCTGATCACCCCAGCCCTTTGACCCTTCCTCACTTAATTTGTTGAAATTAATTTAAAAACTTCATCAGTTGAGAAGTTGGGGGTGGGAAACCAGCTAAATATATTGAAATTTAATTAAATTGTGGGAGTTGCCAACCCTGTAGCATAGATTAATGATTAGCTGAATAATAATAATTCATACAATACAACCATGAGCAGCAGCAGAGGTACCTGGAGGACTGGGGTGTTTGTGTCATTGTTAACTACTCTTTTCATATATAGAGCAAATGAGACGGTATTCACCAGTCATTCAGAAGCTCACACACCTGCTGTAAATGCTTTGCAACACTTACCAAAATGTCTATTGCAGTGTAATTTTCCACTATAAACAGCAGTTGTCCCAGGAGAACATGACAATATTTTCTCTCTTTTTAATGATGCACCACCTTCACACAGTCATGCCTGTGACAGCTTCTTTTTAAAGAAAAGTTTGGAAAACGGCAAATAATTTATAAAACTGTATTTTAACGTGTTGTAATGTTAAAGCAGGGATTGTTGAACTACACCTCCTAGAATTCTTTATCGTTGGCCATATCCAACACCTTCAACCTTTTCTTATAGGAGTTGGTCTCAAGTCCCTTCACCATCTTGGACACTTTCCAGTTTACTGACATCCTTCTTAAATTAGAGTGCTCAGAACTATAGGCGTCAGATGAGGTCTGACTGACACAGAAAAGATAAAAGGGTGGCTTTTAGCCAAATGATTTTGCAGTTTGAAGAAGTTATCTTTGCTCCTGGTTTCCACTATCTAGAAAAGAGGAAGCACAAGGAGGGTCCTTGTAGCTTGGAGAATGGGTATTTCTAAAGCTAGCCCCAAAATTATCCTGCTTACATTGAATATTTCAGCACTAAAAGATGTGTTCTGAGATCCAAGGCTACGAAAAAGTCACTTGAAATAATATATGGTTTAGTGAATGAAATGCATGAAAATGAAGATGGCTTCCTTTTGGGCTTCTGGGAAAGGGGATATTATGGACAATGCAGGCAGGAAGAAAAATTGATGGGTGATTGAGGATTTTTATCTTTAAATTTGCCCATACTGAGATGTTTGAGAATCGCTAAGATAAGGAGGGAAATGTGCACATTTTAATGGTGATTTTCATGAGGACTAGTGAACCTGAACAAAGAAAGAAGAAGTGCCCACACCGGTTTAGATAAATTTGATCTGCTTAAGGTTTTAAGACCCCTATTCCAATTAAGAAAAACAAACATATGTTTGCATCTGTTGGCCTTTTGACTTAAAACAATTATAATAGGGCACACATAGCTTTTGTAACAGAATAATTGTAACTCATAAGTTGTGGGAGCTATAGAAATGAACCTTCAAGTTATAATTTCTAATGTCAAGCTTCTGCAATGCAATCAATATTTCCATACAACAGTAAATAGAAAGATGTTATGTGGATACAGTCTCCAGCTGTGTAGATTAGCTGCCAGCTGTCGCAAGGTAGCTATGCTGTTAGCTTGTTTTTATATGCTAATAATGCCTGTGACTTCTAAATCTATGATCTATTATTATGTTTTAATGCTCAGAAGGATCATAGTGGACTCCTTTGGTATCAAAACCTTTTGAAGAACATGAGGTGACGTTCCCTTTGCCTTACTGTAGATTATTTCTTTTTAAAGAAGCTCTGTTCATAAGATTACGTTAAATATTCTGTTTTAATTTCTGAAATTAGCAATGGCTGCATTCACACACCGTGATAAAATTTGCAGCTAAACCATAGTTTATTGTGATGTGAATGAGTCTAGGTGAGCCTTGGGCTTGCATGCTCCCCTCCCCTTAAAACAAAATATACTTAATCTTAATCACAGTTAGTTGAGTCTGATGAAATGACAAACCACAGTTAAACAAAAAAGGGAGTGAAAGCTTCTGAGTGCCTTCTCTGCAGGGAAAAAGAAAGGGGCAGGATGCAAGGCCAAGAGCTGCTTAAGCCCAGTCACATAATGATAAACTGTGTGTGACATACAAACATGTCCATTTTGTCTCCTGCCCTTTTTTGTAATGAAGCCACTGGAATTGTGTCTGTACAGGCCTGTAGTTCTTAAATTGCCCTAACTTAAACAGTACAGGTCACTCCTTCTGTGTGTGCCTCATTTTATACATCGCAGACCAGCCTTTGCTTCATTGCTGCAGTGTAGTGAGCTTTGTTCCAATTTGCTATCCACTTAAACCTCCCCAAATTCGTCCCTGTTGTCTGAGCAAATGCCTTTCATTTTGCACTTGTGCTGTGATTTGTTTTCCCTAAGTATATTACTGTACATTTATCTAAATGAAATCTGATCCTATTTGAATTTGCCCATAGAATCATAGAATCATAGAATCATAGAATCATAGAATCATAGAGTTGGAAGAGACCACAAGGGCCATCGAGTCCAACCCCCTGCCAAGCAGGAAACACCATCAGAGCACTCCTGACATATGGTTGTCAAGCCTCTGCTTAAAGACCTCCAAAGAAGGAGACTCCACCACACTCCTTGGCAGCAAATTCCACTGTCGAACAGCTCTTACTGTCAGGAAGTTCTTCCTAATGTTTAGGTGGAATCTTCTTTCTTGTAGTTTGGATCCATTGCTCCGTGTCCGCTTCTCTGGAGCAGCAGAAAACAACCTTTCTCCCTCCTCTATGTGACATCCTTTTATATATTTGAACATGGCTATCATATCTCCCCTTAACCTCCTCTTCTCCAGGCTAAACATGCCCAGCTCCCTTAGCCGTTCCTCATAAGGCATCGTTTCCAGGCCTTTGACCATTTTGGTTGCCCTCCTCTGGACACGTTCCAGTTTGTCAGTGTCCTTCTTGAACTGTGGTGCCCAGAACTGGACACAGTACTCCAGGTGAGGTCTGACCAGAGCAGAATACAGTGGCACTATTACTTCCCTTGATCTAGATGCTATACTCCTATTGATGCAGCCCAGAATTGCATTGGCTTTTTTAGCTGCCATGTCACACTGTTGGCTCATGTCAAGTTTGTGGTCAACCAAGACTCCTAGATCCTTTTCACATGTACTGCTCTCAAGCCAGGTGTCCCCCATCTTGTATTTGTGCCTCTCATTTTTTTTGCCCAAGTGCAATACTTTACATTTCTCCCTGTTAAAATTCATCTTGTTTGTTTTGGCCCAGTTCTCTAATCTGTCAAGGTCATTTTGAAGTGTGATCCTGTCCTCTGGGGTGTTAGCCACCCCTCCCAGTTTGGTGTCATCTGCAAATTTGATCAGGATGCCCTTGAGTCCATCATCCAAGTCGTTGATAAAGATGTTGAATAAGACCGGGCCCAAGACAGAACCCTGTGGCACCCCACTAGTCACTCTTCTCCAGGATGAAGAGGAACCATTGATGAGCACCCTTTGGGTTCGGTCAGTCAGCCAGTTACAAATCCACTGAGTGGTAGCATAGTCAAGACCGCATTTTACCAGCTTCTTTACAAGAATATCATGGGGCACCTTGTCAAATGCCTTGCTGAAATCAAGGTAGGCTACATCCACTGCGTTCCCTTCATCTACCAGGCTTGTAATTCTGTCAAAAAACGAGATCAGGTTAGTCTGACATGACTTATTTTTCAGAAATCCATGCTGACTATTGGTGATCACAGCATTCCTTTCTAGGTGCTCACAGACTGTTTGCTTAATGATCTGCTCCAGAATCTTCCCTGGTATTGATGTCAGACTGACTGGGCGGTAATTATTTGGGTCCTCTCTTTTCCCCTTTTTGAAAATAGGGACAACATTTGCCCTCCTCCAGTCTGCCGGGACTTCGCCTGTTCTCCAGGAATTCTCAAAGATGACTGCCAGTGGTTCTGAGATCACATCTGCCAGTTCTTTTAATACTCTTGGATGCAGTTCATCTGGCCCTGGAGACTTGAATACATCTAAACTAGCCAAGTATTCTTGTACTATCTCCTTAGTTATTCTGGGCTGTGTTTCCTTTGCTGAATCATTTGCTCCAAATTCTTCAGGTCGGGCATTGTTTTCTTTATCGGAGAAGACTGAGGCAAAGAAGGCATTGAGGAGTTCAGCCCTTTCTGTGTCCCCTGTTTGCATTTCACCATCTTCTCCTCTGAGTGACCCCACTGTTTCTTTGTTCTTCCTTTTGCTACGAACATACCCATAAAAGCCTTTTTTGTGCTTTTAACCTCTCTAGCAAGCCTGAGTTCATTCTGTGCTTTAGCTTTTCTGACTTTGTGTCTACACGTGCTGGCTATTTGTTTGAATTCCTCTTTGGTGGTTTCCCCCCTTTTCCATTTTTTGTACACATCCTTTTTTAATCTTAACTCAGTTAAAAGTTCTTTAGATAGCCACCCTGGCTTCTTTAAGCACCTTCCATGTTTCCGTCTCATTGGTATTGCCTGACGTTGTGCTTTTAGTATCTCCCTCTTAACAAACTCCCAGCCATCATGAACTCCCTTTCCTTTTAGTATTATTGTCCATGGGATCTCACCCAGCACTTCCCTAAGTTTTACGAAGTCGGCTTTCTTAAAGTCAAGAAATTGAGTCCTAGTATGCTTGGCTGCTCCTTTCCGCTGTATAGTAAACTTCAGAAGAGCATGATCACTCGTGCCTAATGATCCGTCCACTTCTACCCCACTAACCAGGTCATCAACATTGGTTAGGACCAGATCTAAAATGGCTGTTCCTCTTGTTGCTTCTCCCACTTTCTGGACAATGAAGTTGTCTGCAAGGCCAGTGAGGAATCTGCCCATCTC